GAAGGCTATGCTGAATGAAATAAAGAAAAATGTACAGGGAACCAACAGGGATAGGAAGGAAACTGGGACTCAAATCAATGGTGTGGACCAGAAGGAAGAAAGAAACATTCAACCAGAAAAGAATGAAGAAACAAAAATTCAAAAAAATGAGGAGAGGCTTAGGAACATCCAGGACATCTTTAAACATTCCAACATCTGGATTATAGGAGTACCAGAGGAGAAGAGGAAGAGCAACAAGTGGAAAACTTATTTGAAAAACTAATGAAGGAGAACTTCCCCATTCTGGCAAAGGAAATAGACTTCCAGGAAGTCCAGGAAACTCAGAGAGTCCCAAAGAATTTGGACCCAAGAAGGAACACACCAAGACACATCATAATTACATTCATTACCCAAGATGAAAGATATGGAGAGAATCTTAGAAGCAGCAAGACAAAATGAGAGAGTTACTTACAAAGAAGTTCCTATCAGACTGTCGGCTGATTTCTCAGAAGAGACCTCGCAGGCAAGAAGGGGCTGGAAAGAAGTATGCCAAGTCATGAAAGGCAAGGACTTACATCCAAGATTGCTCTATCCAGCAAAACTTTCGTTTAGAATGGAGGGGCAGATAAAGTGTTTCTCAGGTAAAGTCAAGTTAAAGGAGTTATCATCACCAAGTCCTTATTACATGAAATGTTAAAAGAATTTATCTAAGAAAAAAGAAGATAAAAAGATACGAACAGTAAAATGACAGCAAACTCACAATCATTAACAGCCACCCCTAAAACAAAAACAAAAGCAAACAACTAGAACAGGAACAGAACCACAGAAATGGATGGAGGGTTATCAGCAGGGGAGTGGGAAGGGGAGAGAGGGGGAAAGGGTACAGAGAATAAATAGCATAAATGGTAGGCAGAAAATAGGCAGGGGAAGGTTATGAATAGTATAGGAAATGTAGAAGCCAAGAACTTATAAGTATGACTCATGGACATGAACTTAAAGTGGGGGGAAGTGGGTGGGAGGGGTGTGTAGGGTGGAGGGGAATAAAGGGGGGGAAATGGGACAACTGTAATAGCATGATTAATAAAATATATTTAAAAAAAAACAAAGAGACCTGCTCCAAGACTGAATTACCTGGTCCGAGCTTTATAAGATATACATGCATAATTGCTATTTTGTTGCTTATAATTTTCCTACAATTTGAATAGGTCAAGCAATGTTGTTTATGTATGTATAATACTTGATACCCTCTTTAGTTTTTAGTGTAGTCTTCAGAGTGGGGTCTGACCTGGTTTTCATTTCTTCCAGGTTTCCTCTGGGTGGCCACCACAGTATAGTAGAAAGATTTTGGGTTCTGGAGTCAGGAAGGCTTTGGAGTCCGTACTAGCTCTGGTCCTAAAAATAACAGTGTTATTGGTGGGCGGGCATATTACCTAACTTTTTGAAGTTGTGGCTTCTTCTTTAAAAATGGGTATAGTAAAATCTGCTTTATGAGTTGTTATGAGGATGAACATAATTCATATAGAGTTTAGCAAGAGAGGCTGAAAAGCAATGGACTTGATTGTGAGGGCAGAGTTGTGCCTTCGAAGTTTGTAACAGAGCAATTATCTGAAGTTTGGCACTTGAGATAAACGTGGGAATTAGAGGAACAGACTTAGCTACACCAACAGACACTGCCGAGTTGCTGTGAAGTTACCCCAAATACTTTTCTTTTATTAACCCGAATACCTGTAGTTCACAAGGGATATAAATGCTAAAAAGTGACTCACAGTTCATCAGGAAAGCATGACCTTGACCAGTAGCTGTCAGGTCTTTCACTATTGAAATCCCACTGTGCTATTTTCTTACACTCTAAGTTTGTAATGAATTCCCTCTTGAGAGGACATGATGAAATATACAACTCCATTCCACTAAGAATCTTTATGTCTATAAGCACAGTCCTTTAACAATTATTACTTAAATTAAGGACCGATCCGAGGGCAGTCCTTAATCATCCGTTGGATGATTCCGAGGTAGCCTTCTGTAAGGACCGCAGCTTGATATTCAGTGTATGCCCGGAGGTGTGGCTTGGAGGACAGTATCAAGAAACTGATGTTTCCTTGAATTTGCTCCTGTGTTCGCTTCATCAACGTCTCTCATATTAAACACCTTATGGCATATGCTGGAATGTTTTGGTGTTCCCATGGACCAGGGTTGACAGATATGGGAAAATAAAGGCTATGAATTGGCTTGGAATACTGTTTGTATTATCTGAAAACTTCTTCCTTTAAAACATTGTCCCTGGCCTGATTTAGACTTGATCCTGAATCTGCAGACTATGGTAGCTGTGGATTTGTCATTCCATCTTTTGCTGATATTTTGTGTGTGGCAAATGATGAATCCAGGTATCTCAAAATTTGAAATGGTATATGAAAAAATGAGGCAGATGAGCCTTGGCTGGTGTGGCTCAGTGCATTGAGCGTTGGCCTGTGAACCAAAGGGTTGCAGGTTGGATTCCCAGTCAGGGCACATGCCTGGGTTACAGGCCAGGTCCCAAGTATGGGTGTGTGAGAGGCAACCGCATATTAACGTTCCTCTCCCTCTCTTTCTCACTCTCTTCCCCTCTGTCTATAAATAAATAATATCTTTAAAAAATGAGAAAGATGAGAAAAGAGACTTTTCTATCCTTTGCAATTACTTTGGGATCCACTTTCACCTGCTCTAAGACATAACAAACCAATGAAAATACTCATCCTATAAGTGAAATTACAATAACAAGTAGCTGTTTTGACGATGAACTAACTTTTCTTTGCTCTCAGATTGCTGCAATTGTGGAAGAGCAGGAACTGAAAAACAGCATAAATTCTGGCTCCTTTGACTTGAATGATGGGCCTGGTGGTTTGGGGCAAGTGCTCTCATCAGGGACTGCTCAACTAAATGTCAAACCAGACCTATTTTCAAGTTCACTGCTTTCCTCTCCTTCTCTTCCACCCCCTCATTTTTCTTCTCTACAGCCTCCATGTTATCCTCTTGTATAGCCAAGATTCAATAATATTTGCAACACAGATAATTCAGCAACTGAAATGAAAAAAACAGTACCCAGGTGCTACTAAGGCCAATTATAGTTGTCATTCAAAAAACCAAAAAAATAAAGATGTTCCAAACATGTTGTGCCCAATTAGGGCACAAGTATATTATTTATACAAATAAATACTATATCTATAATACAAACATATTTGTATTATGTGAAATACATATAATGTGTGTACATATGAATATTATATCCTTATACTTTATACATACATATACATTCATTAAAAATCCTGAAATAATCATCTTTAATATCCTGTATAACAGTTTGTCCACAAAGTATAAATGACTGATGTCTTTCAGAAATTTCTAGGCAACCGGGTGGTACAATTATTAACCATCCGCAGGAGCTTGGCTTTAAAGCAAATCAATTAGGATTAGAAGCTGCACCATCCATGTCCAAAACACAGAAAATCCTGACCACCAGATGTCACCATTCTTCTATTTCCCCTCCCAGTCCCAGAAAAGGGGTTGAGATGCTATTTTCCTCCAAGGGACTGAGGTAAATAGGTGCCTCCCAGTATGCCTGCATTTCATCAACAGGACTTATTAAGAGGAATTGCCCTGCCCATGCAGATTTCCTTGTGGTTATTGAGCATCACCTGGACAGTTTTTGACTGCTAAGGATGCGACACCCTGTGGCTGATAATTTGGAGCACATCTGGTCAGAAAATGTTAAAGCCATTTCCTCCAGTTTGAAGTTTAAGCTAGGACTGACCGACTGTGTCTAGAGCCTAGGGCCTGGAGGAAGCGCAACACAAGAGAGGCCACAGGGTATTTTCTATTAAGATCCTGGAGTCGGGGGACCTACCTAACTAGCTGGGTGGCCCAAGGGCTCACTTAAAAAATGAGGGAGAAGGACTAAGTCATTTCTAGGGTCCCAAAATTCCAGAGTATTTGTTTTTAAATGACTCTGCTTGGAGGGTGGGCAGCAGGATGGCGTGATTTAAGTTCAAGAAAGAAGACCCCAGGTAGGACAGTGAAATGCGGATGGAGAAATCCTGCAGGCAACAGAAGGTGAAGTTGCACATAAACTCTCCTACTCCAGACAGAGCTACTGGTTCCACAGTATGGAACTTACTATGGAACTTACATAGTATGGAGCTAGGGTTATGAACCTTGTCATTTTCATCCCTAAGTACCCACTAGGTCATTCTCCTTGCATTCTGATACTACTTAACAAGGATCTATAATGCTTAATGATGTAAATATACATATTCTCTCCCCCAGGGCTTGGCTAGATTTAATGTCCTGCCAGTCAATGTTCTTTGCGGTGCCTTCAGGGCATGGGATGTGTTTTATTTCTTTTTGAATTTACAACAATACAATGCTCAGCTGGCCTATCTGTAGTGTTTATAAAATACAGGGGTGGGTGGGGAAAGAGAAAGAGAAATGGAATTCATTTATTGAACACCTACTGTGTGCTAGGTATTGCTAAGTACTTTACACGTATTCTAATTTATCTTCAAAATAACCCCATGAAGCAACATTTATTATGCTCATAGACAAGGAAGCTAAATTTAAATGGTTAAGTGGCTTGCCCATGGTCACAAACACCAGGTTGCAGAGACTCAGACTGCTTCATATAACCCACTCTGTGAGGGTGGAAAGGCTCAGGGCATGTTTGAGATGGTTGAGCTCCATGTACCCTAACAGGGTTTCACTGCTGGAAGGGCCCTGGTGCTTAGAGACCTGGACTGCACCACTCTGTAGGACGCAGTGCCATATCAGCATTTGTACACTGCCCCTGACCTTGGTAGAATATTATTTATGGCCGGGATCAAACTATCTCTCTAGCTTGTTTCTCCCTTTGGGCTGCGGAATAGTACAGTTGGTAGAAATCCTCTAAAACAGGGTTTGATAGTTTGTAGACGGCCCCTAAGAGGCTGAGGCGTTCCGAATTGGCTGAGCGTTCCGCCGGGGAGGGCGGGGAGTTTGCCGAACGTCCCTGGCCGGAATCCCTGCCTTCTAGAGACACGAGCCCAGAAGCGGAGAGAAGTTGGGGAGGTCGGGTAAGGGAGGGTTGGTAGAAATGGCACACTGACTCCAGCCCTGATCGGCTGACCTCCTGACCAGTGCCTTAGCTGCGTTCGGGCCAAGTGTGGACGCGCCGCGCGCGCGGCTCCGCCAAGGCTGGGAGTTTGCAGACCGTCCCTGCCGCGACCAGCGCGGCGGCGGCCCTGCGGCTCCCGCTGCAGCCGCGGTGGCCCCGGGCAAGATCGAGCCGTCGTAGCCGAGCCGCAGCCTCCAGGTGCCGCAACTCCTTACCCTGCTGCGCCTCGGGACCCGTGGGAACGGCGACTGGCAGGCTCTTCTGGTTGCTGCTGCCGCCCGACAAGGAGGTGAGAGCCACTGGGTCGGGGCGATCCCGTCGAAACTCTCCATCGCCGCGGGAAGATGCACACAGAGAGGACCGTGAAGGGCGCAAGGAGCTGGGTGCGGGCAGGGAGAGCCAGCTCCGAGCGTGGCGCACTCTGGGGCTTTTACGCGCCTCCCCCCTGCTGCCTGCGTGGGTGCTCCGGCCGTGGTCGCTTTGCTGGACCCGGGTGTGCATCCGAGCACGCGCCTTGAGGCGCCCACCTGCCTGTGGCAGCCGGTATCCAGGGAAGGCTGCAGGCCCCCAGGACCCGTGGGGAGGGGGTTTTGTTGGCTTTCGAAGGGACTGTCCTGAGGAGGCTTCGGCTTTGCGGGCTGGAGGCGAGCGGCTGAGGATGGCAGATGGGCGCTCAGTCAGTGGAGGAGCAATGGTGGGGTCATGCTGGGGGCGTGGGCCGCTCTGAGGTTCCCCTCACCTGGGCGGGCAGGGCGGGCACAGCCACCCTCCAGTGAGTAGAAGAGGAAGGAGGTTGGCCCCAGGCCTCAGGGGAAGAGAGATGCGGCGCGCGGGCGCTCTGGTCCGGGTGACCAGGGAAATCCGGCGGTGCCCTCCACCCCTTGGGGATGCCCGTTGGCCCGCGATGCAGGCGGCCGGAGAGGCTACCGGGAGCGCAGAGTCCACACCCGCGCCCACACTCCCCGAGAGCATGCTCAGTGCGGCCCTGGGAACTTCCTGCCGAGTCTCGAGCGGCCCCGGCCCACTGCTCGCAAAGTTGGGGGAGGCGTGGGGGCTTGAGGGAGGGCGCGGTGCCCGCCTGTCGCCCTTTGGTGTCCTTGTTCCCGCATCGCCCCTGACGGACCCTCAGAGCTTTTCTCCTACGCCGCCCCGGGTGGCTGGAAACTGAGGCGTGGATGTCGTCCACCGCCGCTCCCCGAGGCCGAGTGGCCAGAGGCCTGGCGGTGGGGCCGCCTGCCGGGTGGACCAGCTTGTGATGCGCTCACCACGCGCACGGACCCTGTGCAGTAAGCAGACTGAGTGGAAGGGGGTGTGTGAGCACGGGGTTCTCGACGCACACACTCGCTGTCACGCACAAAGCCTTGGTTTCAGAGCTACCGAGCCGTGGAAGGAAGAGGTGCTGCTTGCATTGTCCAGCCGCTTTTGGAGCACAAACAGAGTGCTCGGTGCCTGGGGGATTCTGGAATCAGCGGATGTTTTCGATTTTTAGAGATGCCCCAGGTGAATTCTAGGCCCCGGTACTCCTGGCACTTACTGTCAGGCCCTGCCCTGGGCGGACACTGCTGTCTGCACTTGGCTCTGGTAGCCCAGTTAGAGAAGGTTGGGCCCTTAGGAGGCTGAGAAGTTGGGGAGGAGAAAGCTGAGGTTTGTGTGGGGTTCGGGTGGGATGGCAACACTGCACTTGGAAACAGTCATTCTAAGGAGACAGGTGGGAAGCTGATACCCCCCTCATCCCACCCACTCCCCCCAATACCTCTTTATTGTCAGAACCTGAGACACTTGGTTGGTTTTTAACTCTCAAGAGACCCACCCCCCAACCCCCGTGTTAGTCACTGTGTTACTCTCATCCTAAGCCTTGACGACCTAGGGTCAGAACTCTCTTGTTTTTGACTTAAAATCATGAAACAGATTTTCATGATGGAGAAGGCATCACAGATCTGTCTTGATAAATGAATGTTCACCCCCACCTCCCTGCCCTTCCTGTTTTCCTACAAATTGTTTTTGCTCTTATTGTTCAAGGCTGAGATAGGCACCCTAAATTTTTTGGCTCCTAGGATGAGAACAAAACTCCCCTGTCCAGAGATCTTTTAAGTTTCCACCAGTTATCAATGTGATGCTCATGTAGTCACCCTCAAATGCAGAGGTCTGAGAAATGAGGTAGGTGATAGAAGAGGAAGGGGAAGAGGTGGTGACCTTAGGCCCCTTTTAGAGACTGGGAGAAGAAGAGAAGGAAGCTGCTTTGCTGGACACCAGACTTGACCTTTCCTCTTCTTTGTTCCAGCCTGCCTTCCTGGGTCTGGGAGACTTGTGACTGGAGTCACTAGGGAAAAGGAGTCTGCAGTCCTGGTTTGGGGCTTCACAGGGCGTACATCTGCACAGGTGGCACTGGTTGGTTTTAAGGCAGACTGCAGCCACAGCAGGACTGAGGGTCTTGCCCAGATCTGCCAGTGGCATCTGTGTGTTTCAGCCAGTGCTGCAAAGCTGCTCCTGGGCTTTTGAATCTTCTCAGCAGTGCGCATTTCAAGTGCTTTGTGTTTGGAAGTGTGAATACAGTACTCATTTATATATAGTCACACATCCCTATAGGTTTTTATAAAGAAGCATGGGCATATGTACGTGCATATGTAGTGTTCTTTGGTAGCATCTTGGAGCTGGAAAGAACCTCAGGAGATCATAGCAATTCAAATTTTCTCCCTTGCCATTCAGTTTCCTCAGTTTAAAAATAACCAACCAGCCTGGCTTCCCAAAGCCTCTGGTGCCAGAGTCCCCCTGTGACCCTAGCTGAAGGCTTTGGTTTCTTCCCTGAAAAGTGTGACTCCTCAGGATCTGGTCTCTAACAGTGGACATGACTTTTCCTGATGCTCCATGTGGCTTTGGATCTAAGTTACTGCCAAGTCCCTCTCAGATTTTGGCAGGGGATGAATGACCAGTGCCCCCTGCAGCAACGTCTAGAAAATTGCAGAGAACAGTCATCAGTAAGTAGGACTTACTGATGGAAAGTTTGGATCCTTTCGTACTCTGGTCATCTGAGGAGGTAGTTGTTCTGTACCTTCCCAAGCGAGTGGGGATTCGTTTTCATCCCCTTCTCCATGTGCATCTTGGCCTTCTGCCTCTAGGAAGATGGGGTGGTGGTTGGGGATGGTGGTCTGTATTGGTGTTATTACCGTAGGTCTCAGGAAAGCATGTGCTATCAGGAGTATTGTCTTTGGGGTTTTGTTACTGTGTGTGTGTCAAAGTCTGGGGGAGGATGCTAGTGTTAAGTGAACAGTTAACAGAGTTTTGGCTGAAGGAAGGTGTATGTGTTCCTGAATTCAGGTGCTTAACAACAAAGAAAAGAGAGGAAATCATTTTATATCTGGGGAGAGTGCCACATGGGCGACAGTTGAGAGGTTTGGTCAGAAATATATTTGGTGCTTATCAGTGCCGTCTTTACTAGGCTGCCTTCAAAGTTCCTACTTGCTCTGAAGTGTAGAATAATAGCCAGAGTATAGCCATACTTTTAATTTTCTGTTTGGAATTGAGTAAAGATCTCCCCACCTTCTTCCAGTTTCTAGTGTAAGCCACGTGCTGCTATCCTCTTGGACCCTGTGTCAGCGACACCAGAAATCCAAGCGTGGTCGTGGTGGCCTGTGTGCCCCTGGAGGCAGACTCAAGAGTGTTTAGTGTGTGGCACACACACTGAGTGTGTGGGGTTGGTGTGCGGCCACGCTGTGCTGGTGCTGGGTGGAAAGATGTTCTTTTTCAAAATCACCTCTGCACTTTTAATTTGTCTGACCTGTTTCAGTGTGTGAGTGCAGACTAACGGCTCTTGGAAAGCTGCCAAGGTGGGTCCCTGGAGCCTTCGCACTGTGACCGTGTTTTCAACTGGAGGAGTTGGGACTTGAGCTGTGTTTGCCCACTTGCGCTGTTTTATTTATTTGTTTGTTTGTTCGCTTTTTCATTGCCACGATTAAATGCATCCTTCCCCAACTTGGTCACATTTAGGAGGCTGTGTGTGTGCATGAGAGGGTTTGGAGGAATCACTGTATTTCTTTGAAATCCCACAGATCTCTTTTCTGATCATATGACCTTCTGAAAAGAAAACGGGACTTTCCGCTGGGCTCTTTTGCCTCAAAAATCAGGAGAGGCAAAGGGGGTAAGCTCTCAGCTGGATTCAGTGGGAGCAGTTCTCCCTGTAAATTGTCACCCCCACTGCCACGCCTTCTGGACCTTGGCCCCAGGTGGGACGCGGTCCTAGGTTGGGTAAGTGGTATTTCTCCACCCTGTTGCCCATGAACTCAGGAGTGGCATTATCTAAGTACTTTGTTAGTTGTAAGAGTTAAGTACCAGTGTTTGCAATTTATTTAACTTATGAAAACGTCAGTGCTTCAAGGTTATCCCTAGAATAATAACAACCTCACTTATTTGCATCCCTCTGTGATTTTCGTGGCTGGCCCTTGAGGGAATGTGTGCCGCCCACCCACTTCTGTCTAAGCGCCTTTTACTGTTGTAGTTCTGAGCAGAGAGGGCTCTTAAGTCCTGTCATGCTGGTCAGATGCTTTTTATAAATATCCTACACATCACAGTCTTCCACTATAATAGTGTGGATCTCTTTCATGGCTCAGTCCACCCTTGGGAGTGTGTTGTGTTGGTGATCAGTGTAGTGACTGCATGTCTTGGTGGAGAAATTTCAAAAATAGGTGGGTGAGAAAATAGAGATGGTGATGAAAAAACTATCTTCTATATTTGACGGGATCACAGGTTTTATATTTCATTTACTCCTCACCTCAACACTGAGGTAGATACCAATGTCATTCCCAGTTTGTACATAGAGAGACTGATCATCAGGAGTTCATGAAACCTGGTCAAGTGGCAGAGTGAGGATTTGCATCCCCGTGGCCTGGCTCCACGGCCTGTATGAGCTGGACTATGCTTAGTTATTGAGGCTAGGAACCTCACCCTCTGTTAGCCAGCACCTTCTTTCCAACCAGCGCCAAGAGAAGTCTTAAAGACACTCAGGCGTTGGAAGGGGCTCCAGGAACATCCCTCTGGACCCTTTCTAGCTGAGGTCATAGAACTGCAGAGGTAGCAAACTTTTTCTGAGTCTCGCCAGCAGAAACCAGTGGGAAGGCTGGCTCGCAATTCTGACCCTCCGTCCCACAGGAACAGTTGGTAACAAAGGTTAACAGATATGCGCCTACTGTGTTTGTAGCTTTGATCAGGGAGAATGTGAAGGTCTTTTGGCATCTGTCCCTCCCACTACTAGGCCCAACCCTTCTGTGCACTCACATCCCCCTTAACCTTGGAATC